ATTTTAATAGCAGCAGAGTGCTTTACCTCCCCTGTCATTTTCAGTAGATTCAAAGGAATAAACATCTTCCACAGCTAGTAAATCTGAAAGCCTTTATCAACATGTGGGAAATAACTGTTGCCTCAGACACACTTACCCTAGGATGGGATTATTGCTTAAAGATTATAATATTGTGGAATAATCCTTTTGTAAGTATTCTTTTATAAAAAGCCATTTTTAGAAAAAAAAACACTTAAGAAAGCTGCAAGTATAAACCTTTATTTCAGCTGTAGAAACTGATACTTTAAGCTTTAAAGTCTGTAATTCCACATAATATCAAAATGGATTCATGCCTGTGGTTTGAAATAATTTTTAATACAAAGACATTAATTTACATTTTTTCTTATTATTTAGAAGTAAAGAATGCAGCTAGATCAAGTTACCCAAAATGTTCATATCAATTCAAGAATGCAACTACTAATGCATTGGTTGGTGCCAAGTCCACTGAAGGAATCCCGGAACCTGTTCCACTTGTTAATAACCGTAAAGGGAGCCTCTTCCTACCCAACAACCCCTCGCTGCTGCACCTTAACTTATTGAGTTCTGTTGAACAAGGAAAATCTACGTACTGTAGATTGCAACGGGCACTCAGCTTGCCTGTAAAATATCGCTACCACTCCCAAAAGCCTGGGTTGAACCAAGATCTCCGTAGGTAGCCCTGTAGTTGGATGCATAAAGCAATACAGATTGGTTTGTGCATGGTTTTTCAATCTGTTTTCGGTGTGCCTATGACATTACTAATGCTCTGTTAAGTGCTTACAGATGTGAGTTTCTCCAGATGTGGTGATTAATAAGTTAATTGAGATAGCTAGTCAACTAATGTTTCTGGGTGGTTTGTGCTTTACCTTTCATATGGTTTATTTGCTCTGAAGCATTTACATGCTGGGCAGAACAAGTTTACCGGATATTCCAGTTTGTGTGATGTTCAGTAACATAGATGTTATTTCAATTTCCAGCTCTTTTTGGGGTCTGAAAAACAGTGTCTGTAAACTATTCTGCTAGTGATCTGGGAGAGGCAGTGAAGAAGACAGATTTATTTAAAAAATAGCAACAAAAAAATAAGAAAGAAAAAAAGTTGCGAACTTGTCTGCTGTTTCTGAAAGACATTCCCTTTATTTTGCTTAAAAAATGAAATGAGGATAAAAGTCAAGTAATATGTTGTTACAGATGTTCAGCTCCACATTAAGGCTGTTAAAATTACCAGCACATCTTAAATCAATTCATGGAACATTGTCTGGAGGTTATGTCATTGAAATAATGAATCCTCTTTGCTCAAGAATAAGCAAATATGCTAAAACATCAGTGGAACTTTAAATTAAACTCCACCATAAACTGGAGCATCAGAAGCCTCATTAGACTCGCCTGACACTTTTCTAGCATTGAGTCTTCCAGTACTGCAAAACAGATTCTCTGCCTGTTAGACAAGTGAGCACTGGGTTGTTACAATAGTCCAGTAAGTATTATACTTAGGGATGTGGAAGCAAGCTCTTGAGTTTTATTAGAACTCAGAGGCTGGATTGAGTTCCAATTCTATAAAAGTCTGTGTTCAATTCTTGAATTTATTTGCAACTTTCATAAAAGCTGGTCAAGAAAATCTGCATAATGTTATCTTACTGTATTTTAGTACAAACCCCATAGCATAAAGACATAAAAAATACTAAAAATGGGAACTCATTCTCAACAAAAACACTAGGTCAAACTTACAACATCAGAGTTGAGTTGTCATATATCACAGGCCATTATTCAAATATGGTCTTTCATAAGAACAAGCCAATTTAAGACTCCCTTCTAAATTAATGCAGACACAGGAACCATGAAACTAAAATGATATTTTTATGACTTTACTAAAAATTTTGCTAGATCTATTTCTTTAAATATGCAGGAAATTGATAAGAGTATCTGAAGTAATTACATATGTTTTATATCCTACTTACTACTAAGAAGCCACTTGTGAGTTATCATTGCAACACTTTTAGGAACCAAGCCATAGGTGATGGTGTCCATTATATACCATTCACATATTTCAGCTTCATGAATTCCCTTCTCTCATTCTTATGGAGCTGTTTCTAAACTGCAGACGCCCTGTCAACTTTGCACACAGATTTTGTTTGAAAAACAAAATCTTGTTTGGATGTGATATGATTAAGATAGATCAGCTTTCATTGCTGCAATGAGAATAAATGGCTTCCTTGCTTAAGCAAAGCATTACTTTAGCAACAAATTGAAATCCCTCAGAAGACTCTGCTAAAAGGTGTTAACTAGTGAGCTGCATTAACCTTGGACTTTCCAGGCAATTGGTGACAGTAACATAGTTTGAACATGACAAGCACAAATCAAAAGAAGGAGCTTATTCACTGTAGATGCTGTACCAAAAATATGTGCAGATTTCTAGAAATCTAGTCTAGAAATGGTTATTCTGGATGATAAGTAAGACTTGATTTTTTAATTGGATGGCAGAGTAGCATCACCTGGCAGCACTGGAGAACACAAATGTTGGAACATATAGTACAAATGGTCCTTATTGTACTAACTGTCAGTATTTGAAAAGATCAGACAGCAGTCTTATTAGCTAGCTGAAAACTTGGAAAAGTGCTCTTTTTTAACAGTGTTTTCTGTTGTTCATAGAAATATTTCTGGCTCTAATGTCATCTACAGTTGACTTGTGTTAATGTAAAAGTTTGCACATGGTCTTGATGGCTATATATCTTCCTTAAACTGTTAAAATAGTCTAACAATACACTTCTGGTGAGGTACTGAATCTTGACAAACAGTCTGTAACACCATGGTAGCACATTAAATTAAGTTAAATTTAGAATTTTTACTACCAAGAGAGCAAAACACAGCAGTTGTAGATAGTTTCTGGAAAGAACATTTTGCATGGTTCTTCTTCCTTTGATCTTTTAAGTGGTGGATTCATCAGAATGGAACTGAATATATCCTATAAAGAACAAGAGAGCACAGTGTGTATCTTGAAAGCAAATTATTCTCTATGTGGAATAGCATGCAAATAACTTTTTGATAGACAAGTTTAAAACAAGACTAGGTCATTTCCAAGAGAATAATTTGCAGAGGGTGTTCTGAAATGCACAAATACTTGCGCTTTGTTATAATCAGAAATAGAAATACAGCACTAACAAAATAGTTCTATGCATATTCACTTCAGGTTACAAATAGTTAAATACTGAAGTGATCTAGTTTAGTTCAAACAAACTGTCACAGAAAGAAAATTTCAATTAGTATATTTTTGAGACTTTTCTGTGGGGTTATTTATCTGTCAGCCAAACAAAGAATGGTACTTGACAAATCATCAGTGAGCATTTCCACTATAGGACTCAGACTTGGGGGGAAAAAAGCAGTCAAATGAGAAGGAAACAGCTTTGTCTTTGGGGACGCCACCCAAGAGGAAAAGAAAGTTAAGTTAGTGAAATAAATCATTATTATACAGTCGTTGCTCTGATCTAAGTATTACCTTTTGCACCACTTTGGGCGCATTTATTGTGGGGTGAGCTTTTATTTTGTTTTGTTTTTCTTTTGCAATCCTTTCTTTTGTTTTGATTCCCTTGCTGAATTAAGTGATGCCAGGTCATTTAAAAAGACAGCACATCTGTCTTTTCAGGGCCCAGTCCTTCAGCCTCGACCAAGGCAAAATGAAGTACCATAGCAGACTTGGGCAGACAGGCAGACATGACAGGCTAGAATGCAATCTGTAATAAAATAGTATCAGAAGAGGGTTATAGCAGAAGGATATTGCTTAATTTCTTCCCAGATAAGTCTGGGGCGGGTGATGTATAGGTTTTGCTGTTGTTTCTCCATAGCTTGTTGCAAATAGAATTTTCTTTCCAGCCTCTGCTTGTGCACTGCTAATGTGTAATATAGCTACTACTACCACTAATCTCTTTCCTTTTAGCTTTAAAGCAGCAGCTTCTTAGGCATCAGTTATATTATCTTTTAGTTCATTTTTCAGTTAACAATAGGGTGGGGGAAAAAAGTGTATTTTCCCTTCTTTATATTAGAATATTCATAATTAGTGTGAATTTGAGAAAGCAGGCATAAGATAACTCTTTTTGATAGCATGTGGAAACCTTATGCACAAATTATCAAGTGCAGTAACAATCTTGAAACCATAAAGATGATGGTTAGTTTTTATAGATGAGTTATTAGGAAGCTTCACTTGTTTAAGCAATACATATTGTGACATAGGTTATCCAAGAGTAGTTTATGATTGGCAAAACTGCAAGTGATTTTACACCTGGAAATTGATCTGTCATTGAAAACACACCTCATCCTCATTAAAAGATTGCATAACACATGCATCCTCTGTTATCCAGGTATTGTCTCCCCACTTCCATTCAACCTCATTCTGTTCGCTCCTGTTAAAACTCCCTTTTGTGAGAAGAGTAGAGCGATGAGGTCTGACTCGTGCTGCAGATCTGTGCACAATGGCAGGCTGCGTTCACATTCCCGACTAACTGAATCATTGAACATCAAGGCATTGAATATTTTACATCTCTTCATGAAGACTCTGTTGTTTGGCATGTGAGGAGCAAGAACCAACTGGTGTCTAGTTCATTAGCAAAAGCAGGCTGGCAGCTGTTATGTTGGTATCGCAAATAGTACTTTGTCTTTCTGGGAATATAGCAGAGCACTAATTCTACTTTTCTGTAGCACAGATTAACTGAAAATAACTCTAAGAATAACCCGAATGTGGTTCCCCCCCTTTTTTTTTTGAAGTATGAAACCAATTTGAACGCCTGTGTTCAAAATCCTGGTATTCTTCCCTGCTTCTTCTTCAAACAAATCTCTTTGACTAACATGTATTTCATTTTTATTACTGTTGGGCCTATGTTAGCAATGAAGTATCAGTGCGTGAATGGACATAGTGTGTGTTCTTTGCTACTTCACTTGTATTTCATATTGCACTTAGAGCAGTACTGATTCTCATGAGTTCCTTGTATTTCCAGTCGAAGATGAGCAGCCGTCGACACTATCACCCAAAAAAAAGCAGCGAAACGGAGGCATGCGAAATTCACCCAACTCCTCACCCAAGCTGATGAGGTAAGACTGTAAGAAACTCATATCTTCATCTCCTTTCTTCCTTCCTTCCTCTTCTCCTCCCCCCACATCAAAAATAAGGGGACGGGATGGAAAAAAAAGATTGTTAGATGGTTTCTGAAAGGCTGAAGTATTTATTCTGTCAGCTTGTCAGCAGTTAATGATAGAGCTGAAAAAAATTCTGTCATGAAAAACAGTTTGAAAAGCTGTTTGAAAAATACATAGGCTTTAAAGTCTTAGCTGTCACCCTGTCCTGTCCGTGTGTAGTTCTTAAACAGCAGTGGCACTAATGATAGCACTAACCAATCAGGGGAACTCATGTGGTTAGTTTGCCTCAGGCGATTCTCTTTTTGTTGGATTCCCTCTGAGTACTGTTTTCTGTACTTAAGGCCATATGTGAGATGTATCATCACAATCAAAAATGAACCTGAATATTACCTTCCTTTTATCCTGTCGATTGAAATCAAATTTCTGTTAATTGATTTAGACTGATAAAAAAGCCTAATAATCTATGTACTTGCCAAAGCAAAGTTCAAAACTAATGCAGTTTTACTCAGGCTAAAAGCACATTAATTATGAAATACAGGGATTTTTTGGAGTATATACTCTGAAAGTGGGTGATGAAAACATCGTCATGTTGAGGATATTTTTCCCCTGTTGCTATGTGTACATTATTTTACACCAGTACGCCTTTGTATAACTATGTAGTTTCCTTCCATAGGACGAATTACCTCTAAGAGATTTGTTAAAACTAGAACTGCAACAAGAAATTGGAATCTGTTAAAATAACAAGGCAGTTGTGTTCTGTCTCACTGTGTTTCACCTTGTGCCGACTCAAGTCAGTCAGAAGAGAATCAGATAGCAGACATGAAGTTTTCTACATAGAAGCTGCTTCTGCTCTGGTTTTGCATATCTAAAGCAGCCAAGCTAGAACCTCAGTCCATAATTGGGTCCAGAACTAAATACCATAGCAGAGATTTTCCACTGCATATATATACACACACAGAAAAATGTAAACTTATTTTCATATATAAACAAACGCATTTGTGCAGTTTGGGATTTGTGTGTATGTATAACTGTAACTGCTCTGCAATTGCAGAGGATAAGTGAAAAAATTAATATGAATATATAGTTTTTTCCGTATATAAAATCACTCATTACTTCTATTGTTGACAATGATTTTGTTCCTTTAATGATTTTAGATACAGCTAGATAATATTCCTTTTATATTTCAGTCAGTAGACAGGAATTTTCTTTGGTCAGTTACAGAAGAATCCATATTTGTTTATTGTTACTGCAATATAGGGCATATTCAAGGACATAACATCTACAAGTCGTCTTCATCTCTGTTTAGACTACAGAAACAAAAGTGAGATTGATTCACAGAGGGAAATGCACGCAGCTGTGGCTTTTTTTTTTTCTATTGACCATCTATTTCTGTTAAATGTATCATTAGAAGTTCTCTGCCTTCCTGTTAGCTCAGCCTTGCCCATATGACACTGATTTACATGCTTGTTTACAGTTTATGAGGAAGAATAAAATGAACATACTGGCAAGCTTCTCATTTTATAGTGCCAGTTGTCGTGCTAGGATCGTTTTCAATTTGCTTACCTTTGGACAGTCTTCTTATCTGGTCCTAATAGTTTTAACCACTTGAAGTTTTAAATGTGTGGGAGATTCTGCCCCTCACCAAATCCTAATTTTGGGCAAGTAGAAGTAAAAAGAAGGGGCGGGGGGCGGCGGGGAGAGAGAAAGCTGCAACATTTGGAGCTGAGCACACTGTCCCTGTTTGCTATGTAAAGTATGCCTCATTTCTTTGATCTTGAGTAATAATAATTCTGGGGAGTTATACTGTTTTCATATGCTTCAAAGCTGTGTCAAAGTTTTGCTGCTTAAGGGTACTTCTTTATTCTATTGGCTCTTGGGTACTGAGATGACAGGTCCTCTGTACTAGGTGCAGGCTTTTTCAAGTCATAGCCTTCAGCAAAACATCAAATTACCAAATACAGGGTAACATACTTCTACACAAATGCCTTTCCTGTAGATATATTATACCATATATATTAAATACTTTAGTGTTACACGGTACATTTTATGTGCAATAGAAAGTGATGGTTTGAGGTAGCCTTAGGGGTACTTTTTTCCACAAGCAGAAAAAGCTAGTGTATACCGTATCAAGTATGGTTTTTACAGGACTTTCTGCCCGAAGGCCTTTGTAAATAAGTAATGATCAACAGATTGGCTGTGGGTTTTTGAAAAGCATGCCTGTGTCAGTTTGCATGATGGGGGAAGATTTTCAAAGTGGAGCCTACTTTCATTGCCTGCTGAAGAGGGACTGAGGGAGAGTAGTCGTCCTGAGCCTGAGCTGTCTGCTCAGTAGCACATCAGAATTGCTAAACGCAGGTCGAGCAGCCAGTGGAGAACTTGCCAGGCTTCCAAATCCAGACATTGTTTTCTTCCTCTTCTCCCTCGCTGCTAAATTTATTCACCAGGGCAGTGTTGGCACCCTCAGCCTCTCCCCAGACCCAGCCATCTCTTTGTCTCGCCCTTTATCTACACTGACTTAATTTTGGTTCAAGGTGCTAAATAAGACAAAGTGGATTGAATCAGAAGAGAGCTCTGTTCAGCTTTGTGTGTAATGGCCAAACGCTTTTCTCCTTTCTGATAAACAAAGGTGGGCTGTATTATCTGCTGTTTTGTACCCTTGTAAATTGCCTAAAGTGACAGGTACTTGCTTTCCTGCCCAGAAATCTTTAGTGTATGTCAGCTAAAAGTACACAAGAGGTAAATCAGCTAAAGCACTGTCATGTCTGTAGCTGATATTTATCTCTGCAATATTTTTCCTAAATTTACTTTAAAAGCTCCTTTTCAAAACCAGCTTCACCCCTGTCCCTCCCACAGAAACAGCTGGCTACTTTGCAGACTTTTCCTCAGATATGGTCCTGGATCTAGAGTGAGCCTGGAGGACAAGTCGTCTAGAGCACGTAAAGGAGGAATATGTGAAAAGTTCATTTATAAATTGTGATCAGAGTTGTGTCTTCAGAATCACTTTTTTTCAGCAGTCCTACAGTTAATACAATGTTGAAAATGCTGCCTAGATTTTAGATTTCCGCAGTGGCTATGGCAAATCAGGGAAAAGGGTATTGTTCCATGAGATAAAACTTTATGACTTCTGCTATCACTGGAGTAGTGCAGAGGGCAGAAGCTATATCATAGGGATTCCCTGGGATATCGTGACAAGAGGTCTGACAGGTGCTTATTTAGACCTGGTCAGAGTGGGAATTTTTTCAGATTTACTTACACATAAGTAGAAAGCTGTATTACCAAATATGATCTGGATAGATAGATTGGAGACATCTTTTCAATGTCATCTTTTTGATGTTGTTGTCTCTAAATGCCAGTAAATGAAATAAATAGATGGTAGGCATACAAATGTTCTTTGTATACATCACAAATGGTCTAGATTCACATTTAGCAAGTCAGTGTTCTAACTGAGTCCAGCATTGCATCAAATGACATGAGCAAAATCACAATGATGCAATCCATCAGAAACAAATCCTTCAAATTCCAACCATATCTCAAAATGCAAATTACTAGAAAAATACATTGTCATGGTTATTTCTATCTGTTTTACATAAACAGACGTCTGTCCCACTAAACCCACAAGAACATGAGTATTATTTAAAAATAACTCCAACAGGAAAAAGATGGATACTTCTGTGGAGATGTGAACGCAAGGACATCCTGATACAATGAAAAGTAAAATTTAAACATGAAGTGGAAGGAAAAGGAAGGAAAGCTGTGAGTAGCACAGTAATCACATATCAAGTCTCCTTCATGAGATGGAGAAGTAAAGTAGAACCATTTGATGCCTCTGATGTCATGCAGTGATATCAGGTCACCTGTTCATCATCTCACAGTCACAGATTCTTAGGCATATTGTTGATGAACAGCCATATTAAACATGAGGAGTCAATGTCACCTGAATAACAAATATCAAATCTAGTTTTAAAAAAATTGTGTTATTTTGGATTCCGGAATGACCAGTAAATGTGAAAAGCCCTGGATATGAATCAAAAAAGCCACTTAAAAGGATTGTTGCTGAGGCTCAAGTCTGCACTTAATGCTTTGGTAGCTGCTACTGCATGAGTGGAATACACTGACTTGAAGGAAATGTCAGCCCAGCTGAGTCAAACTACCTCTTAATGCAAGAACAAATAGCATATGACAGGGCCCAAGGGGCCTGAAGAGCAAACAAATAGTTTGTCCCTGTCCACTCTGAATGTAGTGGTGTAGTTGACATAGGCCTCTAGACAAGTAGCATACTCAGCAAAGGGTCATTATCATTAGTGTCCCTGATCACATAAGAATCAGAGGCATCAGAGGACGCTGGATTTTCAGTGTGTTGCCAAGGAGAATTTCATAAGCCTGAGGATTTTTCTTGGTCAAGGATCTAAAATAATTCCCAACCAAACCATAAAACTTACTCAGAGACTGTCAAGACCCAGCTAAGTGACACGGAAAAAAGTGAGCTTTTTGGCGTACATTTCTGGAAATGTAATGAGATTATTTATCTGAAGTGGAGGGGGAAACCTCCTGTCTTTTTTCCTGAAGTTGGATATAGTATTCTAAATACATGAACAATGGATGTGCACATTTATTTCCTCATCTGCCCACCCACCTATGTACACTCCAACGTACACACACACTTCTAGTGCCACTCAGGATGAATTTGTATTGCCCCTGCTGTTGTAGTGCTGCCTTTCCATGAGCTGAAACTGTGAGCTTTCTCATAGAAGCCAAAAAAAAAGTGATGGGAGGTCTAGAAGGAAACATTTCTCAAGCAAAAACTGGTAAAGACTTAAATCTGGTCATTGTCCATGACTCCCCTAAACCAGGCACGAAGACAAGGTTTGATGAGGTGAAAGCTCACTGATTAACCATAATAATGGTTTATATTTATGTCGGTCTTGGAGAATTCCATCATGTACTCTAAAATATAC